GTCGGTACTCGTTTATCCCAGTCCGTGAAGGGTGGCCTGTATTCAGTACATGTACTTGTTTATCCCTGTCAGTGAAGGGTGGCCTGTATTCAGTACTCGTTGATACCAGTCAGTGAAGGGTGACCTGTGTTCAGTACTCGTTGATCCCAGTCAGTGAAGGGGGGCCTGTATTCAGTAATCATTGATCCCAGTCAGTGAAGGGTGGCCTGTAGTCGGTCCTCGTTTATCCCAGTCAGTGAAGGGTGGCCTGTAGTCGGTACTCATTTATCCCAGTCAGTGAAGGGTGGCCTGTAGTCGGTACTCGTTTATCCCAGTCAGAGAAGGGTGGCCTGTAGTCGGTCCTCGTTGATCCCAGTCAGTGAAGGGTGGCCTGTATTCAGTACTCGTTGATCCCAGTCAGTGAAGGGTGACCTGTGTTCAGTACTCGTTGATCCCAGTCAGTGAAGGGCGACCTGTGTTCAGTGTTCGTTGATCCCAGTCAGTGAATGGTGACCTGTAGTCAGTCTAGTCTTGCTCATGTGGTACTGTATATTGTTTGGTTACGTGTTCATGCTCAAATTGCCATCATATCACCTTATTATAAACTAACATTTAAAATTTATTTCAATTGAAGAAGAAAGTTTATTTAGAGATTTTCTTAATGACTTAAGCCCTTTAATTACTGAAATGGTAATGTTTTACATGGTCTACAGATATCAATAAACTAACTTCTGACCAGGGAGTTCGTTATTTTTGTACAAGGGACATGAGAAGAATGTTTTTTATATGCATGTAACATAGTGTTTTTATATCCTTTTTACAATGTATTTCGTTTTTAAGATATTGTAAATAGCATTGTGAAACAATGTTCAGTGATCATAATTTTGTGATATATTTTGATCTTGTTCAACCAGAATGCTACCAGACACCGTTAGCTTTGCTGAAAAAGCTAGTATTATCTGCTGTTTATTCAAAAACTAGAATCATATTTTATGTTACTCCCAAATAAGTTATATATATTAAAATGTATGAGTTTATTGCAATGCTGAAGTTATTTTTTATATGTAAATCGGTCTGCACCAAAGCTTGAAATGTATATCTCATTTTCTTTCCAAAGCTAGAGTTTACGTATATATATATATAACAGTATGTCCCAAAACTAAATTTACATACCGTACCTCAATGTATTGGTAAGCTGCTGCTCAAGATCCATGGTCAAAGGTTATGTCACCACTTTGTGGGGTAGGGCTTTGTTTATGCGAGCCTTCGGGTGTACAGTAGGGGTAGAACTTCAATTTTTTTTATATCAGTGTTTGATTCATAAAAACTTATTAAAAGATTTAAACATGATGCCTGTGACCTTGAATGTCGAACAAGGACATTAGGTTGAACAGAGTTTATAGTCTTCAAACCCAGCATGCTTTTAGCAAATATACAGAACAAATCATTTAAAGATTTAAACATATATTGACAACTGTAACTTGAGTACAAGCGAAGGTCATTCATTTGAACAAACTTGGTAGCCCTTCATACCAGCATGTTAATGGCCAAATATCATCACCCTATGCCTCTCGGGTATTCAGAAGTCATTCAAAGGTTTTAAACATATTTGACCCCTGTGACCTTGAATATAAGTCAAGATCATTTATTTGAACAAACTTAATAGCCCATCGTCCCAGCATGTTACTGGCCAAATATCATCACCTTAGGCCTATTTGTTATTCAGAAGAAGTTGTTTAAGATTTTAACATATTTGACCCCTGTGACCTGAATATAATTCAAGGTCATTCATTTTAACAAACTTGGCAGTCCTTCATCCTAGCATGTTAATGGCCAAATATCATTATCCTAGGCCTCTTAGTTATTCAGAAGTTGTTTAAAGATTTTTTAAGACAATTGACCCGTGTGACCTTGAATATTTGTCAAGGTCACTCATTTGAACAAACTTGGTAGCCCTTTATCCCAGCATGCTTCTGGCCAAATTATCATCACTATGGGCATTTTGGTTATTCAGAAGGAGTTGTTTCAAGTTTTTAACATATTTCACCCCCGAGACCTTGAAAATAGGTGAAGGTCATTTATTTGAACAAATTTGGTAGCCCTTCATTCCAATTTGCTTCTGGCCAAATATCATCACCCTAGGCCTCTTGGTTATTAAGAAGTTGTTTAGAGTAAAAGATTGACGCCGGACGGACAGACGGCGCACCACGGCATAAGCTCAATTGGCCCTTTGGGCCAGGTGAGCTAAAAATTGGTTGCCCTTCAACCAAGGATGCTACACATCAAATATGGAACAAATCTTTTCATTCCTACAGAAGGATTTTAAAGAATTTACTGTATTTCCCATATTGGGCCCCGTCCCTCAGCCCCCACCATTTATACAAAATCGAGTCCCCTTGGCCCAAGGATGCCCAGGCTAAATTAGGATAAAATCCCTCAATACCTATGGTAGAAGAAGGATTTTAAAGGTTTTACCTCTATTTCCCCCTGTTGGGCCCCACCCCTCTGCCCCCCCCCCGAGGGACCACACACACCATTTATACAAAATTGAGTCCCCTTGGCCTAAGGATGCTTCAGACCAAATCTGCTTGGCCGTTCAGGACAAGTAGTGTTTTAAAGGAAAAGTTGACTGACGGACGATGGACGACATACGCTGCGGTATGGCAGAAGCTGACCATAGTCCTTGGACCAGGTGAGCTTAATATTATGTTCTTTAATTTTTCTCCAGGTGTAACCAAATATGGTATGTACCAAAAGCAATAAGTCATTGTGATATTTAGCTCACCTGGTCCGAAGGACCGGTAAGCTTATGCCATGGCGCAGCGTCCGTCAACTTTTCCTAACATGAGTACCGCGCGGCGGAACAATATACGCCCGTCGAATGCTATATAGTGTTATATACTTTCTTACATTGAAATAAGATATGCATCATTCAAAGAGTGGTGAGCCGACATGCTATAACAAGAGGCCCATGAGCCTTAACAGTCACCTGATATATTTAGACAGAGTTGATTTTGTTTTTAACATGAACAGAAATATTATTCAAAGCGACAAAAAACCACCTTATTCAATATCTAGCAAACAGTTTTACAAATGTAAGACTGAAAAGTATTTGAAACTAGCACCTCCAATTCTAAACAAGGAATATGAAGAAATGAATATTAGCACACCGACTCCTTTGGGCCCCACCCTAAAGCCCTTGGGGTAGGGTTGGCTCAATATTAACCAAGTATCATTTGCCATTATAAACCATAATAAACCCCTACTGTACCCAAATTGAATTACTTCCAATGGCAATTTAACAAATGTTGGTCCAAAATGTGATTTCCCTATATAAACTATAGTAAAGTTTACCCCCTCCCCAGGGGTAACACGAGACCCGAGGGTAATGAAATTCACAATTTTGGTAAAGCACCTCAAGACCCTTCCAACTAAGAGTATTTGATTCTACCACATCTGGGTCTTGAGAAGATTTTTGAAATTTCAGTCAATTCGACCCTTTTTGGCCTCACCCATCAGCCCCTGGGGCTGTCAGGGCTCAGGTGCATTCTAACATACTGCTAACCCAAATTGAATTACTTCCAATGGCAATTTAACAAATGTTTGTCCAAAATGTGATTTCCCTATATAGACTCTAGTAAAGTTTACCCCCTCCCCAGTGGAAAACAACAGACCCCAGGGTCAAGAAATTCACAACTTTGGTAAAGCACCTCAAGACCCTTCCATCTATGAGGAGTATTTGATTCTACCATGTCTGGATCTTGAGATTTTTGAAATTTCAGTCAATTCGACCCTTTTTGGCCCTACCATCCATCAGCCCCTGGGGCTCAGATGTGCATTCTAACAAACTGCTTCCTAATACTGATAATGCTAACGCAAATGTGATTTCCCTATATAAACTCTAGTAAAGTTTACCCCCTCCCCAGGGTAAAGAAATTCACAGCTTTGGTAAAGCACCTCAAGACCCTTCCATCTATGAAGAGTATTTGATTCTACCATATCTGGGTCTTTAGAAGATTTTTGAAATTTTAGTCAATATCACCCTTTTTGGCCCCTGGGAACCAAACCAGACACTATTTTTGTTGACATGGAAGGTTTCTGCAAGATTGGTTCCAGGATTTTGGAGAAGAAAAAAGAGATGTAAATTGTTTCGACGCACGATGGACAGAAGACCATCGCAATAGGTCACTTGAGACTTTGCCCTTCATGCTACTGGCCAAATATCATCACCCTAGGCCTTTTGGTTACTGAGAAGAAGTTGTTTTAAGTAAAATATTGATGCCGGACGCCGCACCACGGCATAAGCTCACTTGCAGGTGAGCTAAAAATTGTCGAATCAAAATTCTTTTAAGGGAGACAACTTCATATCATGATTATAATGTATACAAAGTTTCAAAGAGATTGGTCGAAAAATGTAGGAGATTGCCAGACAAACAGAAGTTTACACCATACCATAATACTCCCGTCAAATTTGACGGGCGTATAAAAATCGCTAGTCATGAAGGACAGCGCCGATTTAGACCAAAACATCCTCGAGATGGGGGGAACCAATTTTGTATAAATGGTGGGTCAGAGGGACAAGGTCCAATAGGGGAAACATAGCAAATTCTTTAAAATCCTTCTGTAGGAATGTTAGGATTTGGTCCATATTGGGTGTGGAGCATCCTTTGGTAAAGGGAAACCAATTTTGTTTAAACTGGGGCAGAGCCCAATAGGGGAAATATAGCAAATTCTTTAAAATTACTGACAGCTGTGTAATGCAAGGTAACCACTATTTAAAGCAGTTTGATTACCATTATTGACAGCTGGTTGATGTATGGTTTATATAATACCATTATGGACAGCTGTGTAATGTACGATTTACCATCAACATGTGTGATGTTAGTTATTGACAGCTGGTTGATATATGGTTTAATTTCAGCAAGAGCAAAAAGTTCCAATTCGGACAACAGTGAAATTAAACAACCATACAGTAATTAATTTATTACACATTAGAGTTGTAAATAAAAACAAAAACAATATTTATATATTGATATTTTAATTTCCAAAAAATCTCGAGCAACATTTACTCATGCCTGATGAGAATCAAACTGCTCCTAGGATGTGTAAAAATTCTTTTGAATGACTTAAAATGATAAACCCTACCCTGTACTCCAAAGATGATATCCCAACCCTCCGCACTCCCAAAAAGATGAATATGACTATCATAGGTAAGGCTGTTAAAAAATGTTCCCTGAAAAAAATTGTGCAAGCATCAGTAACCCTTACAAAATACCGAATGAAAAGAAACTTCCCAACAAAATTTGGATTTCTTTTGAAGACTCCAATGGAGACAGTAAAATATCCTAAACACAAAGAAGTTGTTCACCGATGCTCCCTTGATTGATCCCATGACTTAAAATGTAACATCATCCAAAATTGTACTACAGATAATGCATCACCGACTTCAGGTCTATATATCTATTATTGTTCAGTTAAAACTTCACCAACTGGAAGCAAGACATGCCATACCCCATGTCGGAAGATGTTCACTCACTCTAACACTCTCTCACATATTCATCGCCACACACCCACACACACAGACAATATATAGACCAAATGACATCACCATGGTATACGACGTTGACAGGTAGTGGAACTAAAAGTTTAAGTTCAACAATAAATAAAACTCCACTTGCACCGAAATTTCTTTCCAAGTACTAAAATCATGTATCATCACATAGATGGGGGAGGTGGGGGAGGGAACTTTGGTGGTGCAGGTGGTGGTGGTGGATTGCCACTTGGGAGGGGAGGTTGATTAGGTTTTTGAGATTGCTGCATCCATTGGCTGTACATGTAAGCCATGTTTTGCAAGTCCTTGGGTTTGCCAGCATTGTTGTTCACACCATTACTACTAGCATAGCCATTCTGTTGTTGTGGTGGTTGCTGATGTTGATTTCCAAAATTTCCACCATTCATAGCATTTTGACTACCATAGCTGTTGGCACCCCCTTGTCCATAGCTTTTGTTTGTATTGTTGCTGTATGAATTATTGTTTGTACTATTACTGGCCCCCCCAAACCGTGAGGTCCCCTGATTAGAGAACCTGCTTGCCCCACCAGCAGAACTGCCATTAGACCTATCTCTGTTGAAGCCAGAGCTGCCGCCACCGCCACCATCACTATATCCACCCCGGCCTCCTCCATAGCCACCCCGTCCCCCACGACTTGATCCCCTATCTCGTGAGCCAAATGAATCACGATTTCCAAACCGACTGCCCCTATCATCTCGTCCACGTGACCTACCACGACCTGCAAATACAAAAAAAACACCCAGAAAATCAATATAACTGAACATAAAACGCAAGGTTGACGCACTGTCTTGTATGACAACACAAATAAATCCTGACATTACATCACAATTTTTCCAGAGTGATATACAAAAATTTCATAAGTTTCATCAAAATCAAGCAATATATGATGACCTTTGTGCAAAAAAATGGACCAAAAGAACCATGTAACTATTTACAAGCAGATTTTGCTCAATTTCAGAAAAAAAATCAGTCTTATACTGTACAAGTTACCAAGTTTCATCAGTTGGATATCTACATTACAAAATTCGAAGTGTGGATGGAAAAACGGTTAGAAAAAGACCACACTTACGGAACATGAGCCGTCCACTTATAGTTTTTTGTATATATAGAAACCTCTCGTTAGTTTTGCTTTAGATATAGCTATTGTGCGAGTTGATTAGAGCTGGTCCCTGGATTGAGGTCAAGGATTCAAATCCTTGTCTAGCTTGGATTTCATTTTTACCCTCACAAGTCAAAATTTGATAGGTTTATCAAAACATGCAACAGCTATTTTCATTTTTAAATACCTTGGATTTTTATCAAAACAAAACTATTTTTCAAAATGAGTCTAGAATAGAAAAAAATATAATTGGCAAATTTTGAATGAAAATTTATACCAAGAAATCTGACCAAGGTCCGACATACTTGATTTTCAGACACAGGTACTCAATATTTTCCTGCGAGAGTATTATCTCAAATATGTTTCGGACACAGTATTTCTCTTAGCTATGGGACTCATCAATGTTAGACCAGGAGATTAAGCATGACTGCCAGAAATTGTAAGTATATTTATTTTATTTTCCTTTTTACACAGTTCTGGTTTACATGCAATTGATTTCCCTGCCAGTTTTTACTGGTATAGGTTCAAGAACTTTATAACTTACCTTTGTAACCAAATCTGGAGTTCTCAGCTAGCTGAAGGAGTTTGGGATTGATGACTTGGTTGGCTTCTCGTAAGACATTGACAAGGTCATTGGCTTGTTTGACGTTGTCTGGGGTGAAGAATGTGTAAGCAGTTCCAGTGTTGCCTGCCCTGGCAGTACGCCCAATTCTATGTACATAGTCCTCAGAGCTTGAGGGGTAGTCAAAGTTTATGACAAACTTAATGTCTTCCACATCTGTTTGAAGTTGCAATGTGTCATTATCAACACACAAAAGCAACAAAGGAAGAACAGAACAATGTATAAGAAATGGGAGAAAACTTGAAACATGGCTCAATAATTCACAAGCATCTGAAAACCAAAACAAACAACGTCCAAAGCCACAGGACAATCAATTCACCCATCTGAAAATCTACACAACCATCACTATTCTCAAGTTGAAAACCATCAAATGCATACTCCCAATAGCCTACATATTGTGAAAAATGTACTGAAAGTTACATAATTAGCCCTGGGTCACCTTTCCAAGAAAGCTTACTTACCTTGGCAGGACTTACCTTTAGGTATCAAGACTGCTGAAGCTCTACCTGTAACCCCAGGGTAATCACATTCCTATCATCAGGTGCACACATGAGGGAGCATGCATCTCTCTTGAAAGAGTAACTGATGGCTTTTCTGGTACTTTGCTCCGAGACTGACTTCTTAACAAATGCACTCCAGAAGTGTGGTGATCTCCTCATGAGTTTACATGTCTACACATCCTCACTAATGCTCCAGTTTATGTATCTCATGTACACACTAGATATTTTCATGTCCTTAACATGACCCAATTTGTTGAAGACTTTATACACAAATTATAAATAGATATATTTCCTAACAGAAATGCATATTTTTTTTCCAAAAAATAAAATAAAAAATAAAAAATAAAATCCGTAAGTGAAAAGTTAAATTTCTTTAGCATCTTTGAATTGCATTAAATATCATGTACGTTTGAAGCAAGATATAGTACCAAATAAACATCTTAATATATATCAGAAAAATATTATTTATAGCAATAAGGCATGGTACCAGCACACGAAGTTTGCATATACATTTATATACACTCGTTCATGCTAAGTAATTATTAAATATATTTAACATTTTTTAAAAACTATTAAAACCTTCTAACCTATACTTTCTTTCAAACAACATGCTTCAGTTACCTTGGTATTCTCATCAAAGGTCAACACGACATACATATCTATTTCCAAAGCGAAGGAAAGTCAAGGAGCCAGTAAGAAGACATGTTGTGCAGACAGTTCATGATTCAAGTTTGGACTGGAGTGCATAATTCACCTATAACCTTTGCCTGTTCACTCAATGCAATAATTCTTTTTTCCGAATCAACATACATTTTCCCATTCTTTATCCACTTATATATATTCCCCCGAAACAATTCAGGCACATTTCCATGGTAAGCAGTCTGTAGTCAGTTCGGATGCCAAGCAAAGTTCCATTTCAACTCGTATTTTACGTACATACTTGTTATCTGGGCTGAACTCCGACATGACAAAATTCTGGTGCAGTGAGGGAGAGACGAGAGGGATGACCTTCAGTGAAGCATTAAACTCTCGTATCTTATTTGTCCATAAAGCAGAGTCTCTGTTGATGCACTGCTGAGCAGACGACCCTTTCGTACTTGTCAGATTGCCATCATGAACATAAGTACAAACGAACTTGGATCATGCAACATTGTTTGAAATTAGTTTTAAATTCATTGGCCAAAACAATTCCTGGCAGTTCCACATTCTTTAACCGGTTGGGTCACATTCATACACTTGGCCAGCTGTTTTCCAATTAAAACTGGGTCAGAGAGACTACCTTACATATTGACATTAGTTGCTCCCCCTCCTTGCCTCTACATACATCTGTCATGCCGGTCCAGCTTCCATGTTCAAGTTTCTAAAACAAATCTTGAACAACATTAATGCAATTATCAACATGAATTAATGAATACATCATTAGAAAAAAAAGTTGATCATAGCATTTCTTATCATTAGGGAACATTGATGGAATGAGAAATTAATGGAGCATTTATTATTATATGGAAGTTATTTGAACATGAAACTGTAAGAACCAATATGATGAATGATGAAATGAAGGAATGGTGCAAAGAAAATAAATGACCGATTTTGCAAGTATACAAACCTAAACCACGGGAAGCCACATCTGTTGCGATAAGAATAGGTGTTCGACCATTCCTGAATTCTGTAAAAAAAAAAAAAAAGAAGAAGAAAAAAAGTGTTAGTCGTTGCATAAGCAACATGGACAAAATATTAAACCATATATCAACACTTTTTCAGTTCAATATACATCCACATGCTTATCAAGAAAATATAAAATCATGTAATACTTACCAGCGAGTACCCAGTCCCTCTCGGGCTGGGACTTGTCACCATGAATACACATCACTGGCCATCTGCAAGGTGAAATTTTTAACTTTTGAACAAGGTTTTACTTTTTGCGACATTCAAGATAATTTGAAAACAATGTCCACAAAAGATAAGAGCAATTCAAAGGCCAAGTATTTTCATGGTTTAAAAAGAAATATATATACTATCAAATGGGCACTCATAGCTCTTATTAACATATTAAGTGTGAAAAACAGTTTCTAATTAGATAATAAACGTTGATAATCAACAGATCAACTAAATATGCAGGCTTACCCTTCTCTCCTCATTTTACGGGATAAGTCATCAGCTCTCCTTTTGGTCTCTGTAAACACCAGTGTTTTGTTTTCCTTCTCCTGCATTATTTCTTCTAGCAGCTTCAACAACCTGTAACAGATTTCTCACTATGTAACCACCAAATGCCCGTCATATTTGTGAGTTGCTGTATGCTGGAACTATGGACCAATCAGAGTGCAGTATGCTAATTAATTATGCACAGATTTTGCTCTACTTTAATCTTTAAAAACCTTAGCCTCTGTTTATTGTCATGCTTTAATACTAGTTTCATCAAAGCTGTATAATTTTTAATCAAATTATCTCAAGGATATCAGATAGTGAATGGATGAATTCTACATCCCATCAAAAATTATAGCTTGCACAAACAAAATCGTAATTATTCATATTTAAAATTTTGAATATTCATAAAGATCATGTCACAAGTAATACTTTATATAGTAACCACTATCAAAACTGTCATGTCTCCTAAAAAGTCAAATTCAAGTACAGAAAATATTTTTGACTTACTTGTAATCCTTTTCCGAATCATTGCACACATCAATGATCTGGAGGATATTGTGGTTGGCACTCAACTGTAAGGCGCCAATGTTGAGTTGTACATATTCTTTAAGGAAGTCTTCAGCAAGCTTCCTTACTTCCTTGGGCCAAGTTGCACTCCACATGAGTGTCTGACGATCAGGCTACAAAAAAGCCCAATACAAAATCACTAACATTGGCATGTATATACATGTAATTTTCAATTTTAATAAAGCAGATCCAGTATCACATTCAAATTATAATGGACTTCAATGATGTAAAAACTTACACGAATCTGCTCCAAAATTTTACGGATCTGTGGCTCAAATCCCATGTCCAGCATTCGGTCTGCTTCATCAAGGACCAAGTAAGTGGTTCTTTTCAATGTTGTCTTTCCAGCTTCAAGGAGATCAATGAGTCTTCCAGGAGTGGCAATGCATATTTCAGCACCTAAAATACAGTTGTTTTGCATCATTATACATTTTTTTTTACCACATCGGTCTTTATTTCTTGTGTATTGTTGTTACTAGATTGTAACCAAGGGTTTCTTGGATATTCCATGCATCAATTTTCATGAACTTAGTTAGTGGAAGTCGAAATGATTCCATATTGATAATGTATGCAACACACTGCTTTGGGAGACACCAACAGGTCAATGTGTTTACATTTTTGTATTTGTCGAAGCTTCTTAACATGGTGAACAAGTATACTAAGGTCATTTACTTAACAGGTTTCAAAAATATTATTCGTTGTATTTATCATTCATCCCTCTCAACCCCAATACACAGCACACTTTACGTACCTCTCTCCAAGTCCCTTATCTGTGGTCCTTTGGGAGATCCACCATAAACACACACACTTCTTATCCTAGAGCTTTGACCAAATTCAATGGCAACTTCCTGTACTTGCTGAGCTAATTCACGGGTAGGAACCAACACCAAAACCTACAAGCAAGATATCACGACATGAAATTTACAAGCCCAAAGTGTCCTGCTAGTGAAATATACGTGTGAAAGCATATTACAATTTACTGTTTGCAAGAAGGAATAGAAAGAGTGCCCCCCCCGCCCCTTTTTTTTTAAATAGGAGAAAATATGTGCTTTAGGAACATGACCTGTCAGCAGGAAGGGTTGCCTCAGGCCAGAGCCAGGGGGAGAGTATGAGAGGGGATGTCATCGTTAATTTTTGTTTTCGTTGTTCATTATAGACACTTTGATCTGACCACCGGATATGCATTATAATTTAAGCATTTGTTCAACTTATGACTTGTATATTGTAAACCGGGCAAGCCGTAAACAGTGTTGTAAAATATCAGCAATGACATGAACACAGGGAAAATGAAATAAATCACTCAGTCGTCGAACCAAGGGAAAATAAAACAGAACAAAGACAAGATATTCATATGGTAGTATTTAAGTTGGGGAATCATTCGCTTAAATAGGAAATAATACTAAAATTGGAGAGGGAAATCAACCCATATTCAGTCATAATAAAGCCTAAAGCCTATTTATATAGCTTTTATATTCATGATTCTGTACTCTAAGTGAACAGATTTCATTTTTGTTACATTTTTGCAAGCCTTAACTTAATTTATCACTTACAATGGGTCCATCACGTGGCTGTAGGTTAGGCTGGGCCATGATGTGTACTGTGGCTGGGCAAATGAACTGTAACCAAAAACACATCATTATCAATTATGCCAATATTGTGAAATATTCAAACAGCAAACTGAGCCACAAGTCAAAGTATTGTTCCAATTATTAAGTTGTTTGCTAAATTCCCTTGGTAGAATATAATCATCTTCTAGTAATGAACAACCATTATCAGGCCAATCAAATCAAATAATATCCATGATAGTGAATTGGTGCTTCCTGTAATAAAATACAAAATTGTACTCACGCCAGCAGTTTTTCCTGAACCAGTTTGGGCAATTCCTACAAAATCTCTGCCAGACAGAGCAATAGGCCAACCAGCTGCTTGAATTGCTGTTGGAGCAGTCCAACTTTGACGTCTAAATGAAGCGATTACATATTCTGCAAAATTAATAAATAGTAGAATTATTGCACAGTGCTTAATAACCGACATTGAACTGTCGGTCTATTTCATTTAAGAATTTCACCCTGTAGTTTTAGTAAACAAGCTCGATAGTTTTACAAATTCCTTCTCAAAAAATCATAATTGACAGTTATATCTTTTGTTGTTCAATTAAGGATATACTTCACTTGCCTGGAAACCCTGCTTCTTCAAATGTCAGAACAGGTTTTGGAGAATTGCTTCCCTTAAAGGTGATCTTGTTTGCTTCAAAGTATGCAGCAATTTCATTCTTAAAAAAGAAAAAAAAGAAAATCTTTCAGAATGAGGATCCTGACCTTTACATGGATTTAATCATAAAGCAATTTCATATGTAAACTCTTTTATATCTCCTTTCAGTTCCATATATCTTGGACAAAAACATCAATTTCATACAAAAGTATAACAATTAAATTCTCTTATTTCATATATATACCCCAGCAAAAAAGAAGTTGTAGTTCACAACTATGAAATGCTAACAAGAAGGAAAGGATATTTTTTACAATACCCCCTAAACTTTGTCTAAAGTTCACATCAACAAAATACTAACAGGATCTCTGCTTGTAGCTTTTGGGTGTTCCCGGAAAAAATTCTTCTCAAATGGGATTAGTCTTTCAGTTTCCCATCTTGGCTTTCGAAGATTTTGACCAGGTTGGCTGTTCTTGTCCAGCTTGCCACGCATTCCACCTCCAAACCCACCACCACCTCCTCTGCCTCCGCCTCCAAAGCGACTGCCGCCGATTCCTCCTCCTTGGCCAAAACGAGACGGAAATCCGCCAGGTAATTTTCCGGCATTGCCACCAAACCTACAAATCAGAAAGATGAGTTGACAGATCACATGTAGCAGCTGTTGGTTATAATGGGGCTGGTTTTGGAACAATAAAAATCCAATTTCCCCCTGTTTTTTCAACAACCTCAGTGTCAGAAACAGGAAAGTGAACCACCTTGGATTGCCATATACAAAAACGTTATTAGGACTAGAACAGAATAACAAGCTGTGGTTCGGTCACAAGTACTATCCGGTAAGCAAATACCTGTACATGAAAACCGTCCCCAAAATGTAGGTCAGTATTTATCAACTTCCCGGGCAGAAATGTTGCTCCTAACTGCTGATCGCCAGACCTCGAAAACATTTGTGACCAGTATACTTGCTTTACTATAGCGTGCATCTGGTAAGAGATTGTTTCGACCCAAATCCTGTTCACGCTAGGTTGTTTTCCTCTCATTTTTTGTTTGGAATTTAAATGCTAATATAATAGTTAATATTTAACCCTTAGGCTGCTACATTGATTTCTATGTAAAGGGACACCACTGCTGAATTAATTATTGAAATTTAAATTAATTTACTTGATTTTTCAAATGTGCATTACTTGGAAAATATTTGTTATATGTGAAAAAAAGGTTGTATGAAAATTGTTCGTTGTTATCTAGTTTATATTAACGTTTTCAATTCTAAAGTTGCTTCAGTATTTACCTGTACAGGTGGTTATAAAGGTAAGAAAATGTGAAACTTTTAATTAATGGGATTTAAGCAAGAGAAAGATCATCTGCATCTGATTTTAAAATTATTTTTGTCCGCAAATGTGATTGGCAAATGATAACAGAGATTATTAACCTTAATTTTTGACATACGACGCTGTATATATACACGGCGATTATCAGGTAAAAAGGTCAGGTATTTCGTAAAGAATTGCATGTGATTTTCAACAGGTTTTAGGTCGCCATTCATCGGCATATAGATATATCTTTTTTTTATGGGTTTTTTTCGATTTCAAATTATCTCGCACACCTTTGGTTATTACTAGCGTACACTGCCTTGAATATCGAAAGTAATGACAAAACCACCAATCAGAAGCCTTCTACTATACACGTTCGGGTTTGGTATAGCAACAACCTGACTTCACACTTATTGGCTACTGATCAGGGGTTGACACTAACTTTTAATAGGTGGTGGACCGCAGGTCCACCTGCTCTCTTGATCTGGTGGACCTGGTTAATTTCTGGTGGACCTGAATAATATTCTCAGATCTGGGGCGCTTTGCGCCCCGGTCGACGAGCGTAGCGAGGAGTGGGGGGTGGGTTCGGGAGGGGGTACCCCCCCTCCTGAATAAGAGGGGGGTATGGGGGTCCTCCCCCGAATTTTTTTAAAAGCTAGATGCAAAATCCTGGCATCTGAGGGTTTTAAACAAATAATGAAGGTTTTTTAATTTTCTGTAAAA